AATTGAACTTGATCTCAAATTTAGATCTCGTATAGGATTTGAGTTCGAATTTGAATTTATCTAATATTTTGAATCGAGCCGAATAGGTCAAAAGTACGATTCGATTCATTTATAAACCCATTTGTACTAGTGCTACACTAATACGAGAAGAAAATAAGAGTTTGTTTGGTACAAGAGTCTCATAAAAAGAGTGATTAAGGGGGACAAGAAATAGATAAATGTATGAAGAGTAATTAAGAGGAACTAGAAATAGATATGCATGTTGGGAGGGGGGGAGGGGGAGGCGATTAATCTATCTTAGATAAAATGTTTTAGTGCCTTTAGGATTATTTCGAAAGTTTTGGCGGCTGTGGGGGGGAGCGAAAGGCTGCTCCTCCCCAGCCCCCCTGTTCCATCCTTGGTTGAATCATAAGGGATTTGTGAGGTATTAACAATATACCCATGCAAATTTGGTGTACTTAAACCAAAATATAGATTATCAAAATTGTTGACGTACATCAATTTGATTTTGACTATTACTTATTGTGATTTTTCGTTAGTTGTCTTAAATTGCGTTGAAGACAAATTTTGTTTTAATCGAAATATTAGATGGACTAAATATTGGGGACCAAAACTGTACTTTTGCTCCACATTAAACGTTTGATTTTGGTGCGATAATTGATTGAGTTAATTCTCCTTTAGCATTTCTGGTTCAAAATAGTTCTTGTCTTTCTCTTTGGCATTTTCTAAATAAACGGTGATTTGAAATGGAGCTTGTTACGTGAACATTTGCCCCCTGGCATCTTTCAATGGAGGTACTCATTCATAGGCGAACAATCTTGGATACAAATTTTGAATCCTTTAAGAAAATGGAGAGTCTGAATGGAAATGCGCAAGCTAAACAAATATTGAGATCAAGGCATCTAAGCTGAATTCTGGTCCGGATACAAGCTTTCAAGGAAACTTTCACATTAACCAATGAAATTAAAATTGAGTGCAGGCGCAAGGTCTCTTTCAATCAGAATAATTGCTTGACAATGGTCTGATTGCAGTAATAAAAAAATTTATTAGGTTGCAAACTGATAATATATAAAAAAGGGATTCAATATCGACACATTGTCATTGTTGTAAGACCACTTTTCTTGGTTTAATCTATCAATAATCTTGTCTACATAATTTTTTGAAATAATCTACAATTCTGCTTCAGGCCGGCTGCTGCTGCTTCACTTGCACTTGCGAAGATGTCAGTCACAGTCATTAGTTGGCCTGCAAATATAGATGTCATGATATTAACCAGCTACGTGCGCACATCAGGAGTACTATCACTATGTATATATGCGATCTAGATAATTTTTTTTTTTTTTTATAAACGATATAATATCATACAATGAAATATGCACTAATGTGGCAGAAAATACTTTAATTATATCACAGAAATAATAAATCTGAAGAATCACTACATCTAATAGATCTAGAAAATTACAAAAATTACATTGTGAAACTCAACACATTTGAAATTTAGAATATTTATGTATGCCAACGCTGTCTGATTTACTATCCAACTGGTTTAAACTCAAATTGGATGCTGAGATCTAATAAAATGACCTAAGAAATTCCAGTGATCTAGAAAAAATTCACCCTAAGGTTGATGAAACATATGAAGGTATACATGTTAAAACATCAATAAATAGATTAACACGAAATGTTCACTAATTAACTATTCATTAGGGATTAGTACCGCCTAATTTTTTTCATTTACATGTCCAAAAATCCAAAAAGATTCATCAGATAGCACTCGTCAATGTGTCAAGAATAGGACCAAAAAGAAATACAAGCTTTCATATAAAATACCAGTATAACCCTAGTTTCCCTCAGTAAGAAAGATAGTTCAGTTATAAAGGGGTTTCAGGGTATGTTTGTACAGGAGATATAACCAAGGGTGTTTGCTTGTAATTAACCAAGAATATTGTGTTACATAAGCTGCGGAACGGTAAGATTTTGTACAGTCATACCATAAAACAGAAATATTGTTCCAAAATTTTGGCCATAGGTTACTGAGCTAATTTCTCCTCATGTTGAACTTGAATCTCAAAGTTCTTTCTCTGCTAAATGATTTTGAGAAGCTAGAAAATGCTAAGCATGTTATCTCATCAGCCCGGACAACTCAATTAAGATTTTGAATAGATTTAGTAACCAATGGAGCACTTTACCCTAGTTTTAGATATCAACTTCACGTTTCCAACACCTCCCCCACCCTCCCCCCCCCAAAACAAAAATGTTATGATTAAGTTCTCAAACCACTTGAACAATGATTTACACAACATGTTATAGAATTGTGTCCGTAATAGACCAAAAAGCAATGAAGGCTTTCAGATAAATTATTAGTATAGGCAGTGTTGCCTCGACAAGAAAAACAGGTAAGAAGGGTGTTGAATGTTGAGATTCTGAAGACAGGCTTCAAATGTCCAAATGTCTGAATGATACGTCTAACTGGCTATGAATGCAGACCATACATAAGTTAATAACAACAAGGCTCAAAAAAAACAATAAAGAAAAAAAAATGTTCCATGCCCCCTGTCCCTCCCAATATCAAACGTGTTATCTTGTTTTATTTTTCTCTTTATCTATTACTATTACTATTACCATATTAAAAGTATGACGAGATTTGGCATTATAAGTTGTAAGCACTTTTTTTATCTTAATTTATGTTGTTTCCATATTACCCCAAGTTATTGTATTTTAATTGTGGTAATAATTAAAATATGAAACATTCCAAATGAATATATCTCAATAATAATGGTAATTAAAATGAAAAACTCCCTATTAAAACTATTTAGCGACCCATACATTTCATCTCCAATTTTTATGTGCATCAAAGTTTCTTATTCGAAACAATTTCTTACTCATAATAGTTTGACCAATTTCAGTAACCACAATTTGAAGATTGTAAAAAAATATTAGTATAAAAAAATAGATGCTCTTAGAACAAAAGAGAATAAGAAAAGAGTCCATATTCATTTGGAGAATCTTGATATGCATATCATGAGATAGGTACATAATTATGTGTCTTCTATCAGTATAAAGAAATACTAAAAGAAAAGCAAAAATAAAAGAATCAAACTATTTCTATCAATTGAAACTAAAGCCATTTTAAGATAATTAAGCTGTATAAATCATTATATTCTTATCAACCACAATAACACTTAGAAAAAACGTCACTAATCCAAATTCAACAATGCACCTCACATTATTCAATTCAAATTCACAAAATTTTTTGTGAAAAGTTCAACTAGAAAGATATAAAGTAAAATGTTCATGCGGAGTTGGATATGAGCACGATTCATATATTTTATTCTTAAATAATTAATTCATTCTAACTATACAATTGCATTTCATTTGTCTTAGCAAGGGAAAATAATATTTAAAATGTTCATACAATTTTTTTTTTATTTCTTAAAATTTGTTGATTTCATCATAAACTTAACTTTGGGGTGTATTTTTAAGTAAGAAAAGGCACATCTAGACTCTAATTCATAAACGAGCTTTCCAAAAGGGTAAAGAAAGGGGTGAGTGTGGTGAAAATAATTAGAATGACAAAATCTAACTAATCAATTTATTTATTCTAATACCCCTTTAGAAATTGATTTTACGATTTAAGTCTTTATTTTCCTAACAATTATGAATTAATTCTATTTACTAGGCTCACACTTGACATGTATGCATATATTTCCTGTTTAGCAATATTTTTTGTACAATATTTTAAAAAAATAATATTATGATTTTATGGTAAAAATATTGTGAGTATACAACAACTTTGGTGAAAAATGACCGAATTAGGAATTATTTATCAAAGCTGAATCCATAATTTACCGAAAAGATCGACATAAATTAAAAAAAGAAAACTCAAAATAAATTCAAAAATAATTGATCAAAGAGTTCATATTTAGATGGGCTTTGAAATAATAATTGGTTAATGAAAATATGACATGTTTTATTATCAGGTAAACAATCAAATTTGACAAAAAATATATATATAAGACATGTTATTTTGGGTTAATATAATCATGTGCAAAGTACGCGAACTATTACAAGTTTATTAAATGGATTGTTGATTGAATTCTTGTTGTTAATCTCAAAATTAAATTAAAGTCCTACTTCATTGACATAAGCAATTATAATAACGCGCAAGATTAATCAAAATAATAACCCGGTTGCGAAATTAGTGCCGCTAGATGTATTAAAAGATTGTTAAGAGCGTAATTAATGCTGTATTATTCAAACATTTGGACTAATGACTAAGGGAAGTGCAATGGAGCGAAATGTCCATTGACTATTTGTCCTTTCTTTACTATATACTAGCAATCTATCACCAGAGCAAGAGAAGAGCACTCGATTGTGAGGTTTTGCAGTTCTTATCTCCTTTCACATTTGAGAGTTGTCTCATCTCTAAATTGAGATCTCTGCTGGTTCTCTTATTAATCTTTGATTAGATGGTCTCCAGTAGTATAGTATTACTTGCATTTATAAACTGAAATTATAAAAATGAAACTTATAGTTAACGTAGGTATTGACAAACTCCATCTAAAAACATAGGAGTGAAATTGGAGATTGTGGTGCTTACCAATTTTACTTAAAGCCATTGTGGACAGCTCTCAATGTGAAAAGCTGTTGTTTGATGGCAAGGCAATAAACATGGAAATCAATAGAGTCCAAAGCATTAAAACTTCTATTTGTTATAAAACACCATACCATAACTTCTATTTGTACCATTCAAGCAGTTGGACTAGTGGATAACGCATGTGCAGTGGGGTCTTTTTTTTCTTTCAATCATCCAAGAAGTATCCAATGACTATTTGTCATTTACTTGCTGGACAGTAGCAATCAACGTACAGAAAAGAGGAGAGCACTTGTTTTTGAGGTTTTGCAGATCTTTCTCGTCTCCTTTCATATTTGAGAACTGTTTCATCTCTTAAATTGAGATCGATACATTCTGGTTCCCTTGTTGATCTTCCCTTTATTAGATGGCCTCCACTAGTATCACTTGTATTTCTTCCATCTTGGCTGATCTGCAAGCGCTGGAGAACGATTATCCAGAATTTCCAAATTGGCCGCAGCAGTACCTGAGACGCATGAGACACATGCTAAGATATCTGAGAACATTTCTTCTGTGTGCGATAAAATACAGCAACGGTGATGTGCAATTACTATTTGACAACAAAAAGAACCAGGCAAATAATCATCATGCAAGCCTAGAAGCTCTGGCAGTTCGGATTGGAGAAGCCATTCCCAAGTGGGCAAAGGAGATCCAATCTTCTGATCAGCCTTGGAAGGTGGTCCATGATTTAGAAAAAGACATGGAATCCTTCGAACAAGAAATTTGCGAATGGTACGTCTTTTTCTTGGGTTCCTCGTCACGGCAGTCCAGTAATTCGGTCGTTCGAAAAGATGACCTTATGGAATTCATGGATTCTCTTCTGGAGAATCTAGTGAATTATCTTCCAAGGAGTCGGCTGCCACATCAAGTTGGACTAATTAAAGCCCTTGAAGAGAAGCTGGCGTTCATGAAAAACTTCATCCGTTTTCTCACACTGCATGGCGTTGCAAACACAGAATTGGGACCATTGTTGGTTCACACTGAAGCTGTGGCTATCAATGCAGCAGGCCTCTCTTATAAGTTCCAGTTTAAGAAGGGTTTCGGATCGCCCAAGGATATCAAGGAAAACATTTCGGAACTGCCGCAGAAGATTATTCCTGTTGAACCGCAAGTCCTTGACACTTGTATCCAGGCCCTGGCTGCTTCAAAGTTATCAAGACAATCATACGGAGATACAGATGAGCGCATATTGAGAGACTTCTACCATTCTCTCCTGCGTAATCTTTGGGAGAAACTAAAGCATGGTACTTGTCCTGTAATTTTGCGTCAACTACAAATGTTTTACGAGGGGCTCAATTCCTTGAGAACCATTTTGAAGGAGAAGCCAAAGGAGTTCAATGAGAAAGTAAGAGATCCTACTCGAGTCGTGAAATGTTATGGAGGAGATTTTATTTCCCCACTCTCTCTGAATGCAATCAAAGACGGCATACAAGCCAAGGATATGGATATCGTGTGTTCTGAGTTATCGGAAATAATTAAGCTCATCAATGCAGTAATCACAGAGAAGTGTCCAGAATCATCATCATTCACTTTTCCTACGACCAATGGACTGGGCTTTGTTGATTCCCTTCTAGAAAAGATGATGGATGTGACAAGTTCTGAGGCCGGCTCGATTGCTTTGATCGATCATCCAATTCAAAAAGTCCAGGAAGTACTTGTTTGTTTACGTTCTTTGCTGTGGAAAATTGTGGAGCTGCAAAATGAAGATGAGGAGGTCCAGGCAATTTGGAATCGTATTGTTGGGGTGGCATACAGGATAGAGCTTTTTATTGACTCCTTAATAACTGGAAATATCTTAGATTCTTCTTCAATGTCTATTCATTCCATTTTAGAAGAAATGAACATCATTGAAGCTGCGGCCTTGAAGATTTGTGATAGCGAAAGACTTGGTGGAAAAGTTAGCGAAGTAACGAAGAGATTCAATCACATGCCACAAGAAGGAAGTAAGCCAATAGTCAATGATTTGGTGGTGGGATTCGAGGATGAGACGGCATCGATAATCAATGGACTCAGAAATGGATCACGCCAAGTGAAAATTGTTTCCATTGTGGGTATGCCGGGATGCGGTAAGACAACTTTGGCTAGAAAAGTGTACAATGATTCTTCAGTGAAGTCCCATTTTTATGAGCGTGCTTGGTGTACTGTTTCTCAAATATATCAAAAGAGAAATCTGTTGCTTCAAATTTTGACTTGTATTGAGTCCAAGCTTCCTGAGGAAGTTTTTAAGATGGGTGAAGAAGATCTGGCTCTTCAAGTCAAAAGACGTTTGCTGAAAAACAGATATCTCGTTGTTTTGGACGATGTATGGGACATTGATGCATGGAACGGATTGGAAGCCTCATTCCCTGATGATGGAAATGGAAGTAGAGTTATCTTGACAAGTCGGCTCCGTGGTGTTGCTCCGCAAGCCAAACTCGACCATGAACCGTATTCTCTTCCTCAACTCACTCCTAATGAGACCTGGGATTTGCTAAAAGGGAAGTTATATCCTGGACAAGATTTGGCTCCTCCAGAACTATGTGAAATTCGACAGCAAGTCGTGGAAATGTGTCAAGGACTACCTCTTACGGTTGTCATTCTTGCCGGAATTCTCTCAAGGATGGACCGATATGGTTGGAAAGAAGCTGTGGAAGGTTTAAGTTCAAGGAATGTTTCTAGTACGGAACAATGTACCGCTACATTAGAGCTGAGTTACAAACATTTACCTGATAATCTGAAGGCATGTTTTCTTTATTTTGGAGCCTTTCCAGAAGACCATGAACACAATACCAGGAGGTTGATTTCTCTATGGGTTGCTGAAGGTTTTGTTCAAAAAACTCAGCTCAAGAGATCAGAGGATGTGGCAAATGATTACCTGATGGAACTTATTAGCAGAAGCTTAGTCATAGTTTCGAAACCAAGATCCATTGATGGGGTCAAAGCTTGTCGCATTCACGATTTGTTATATGAGTTTTGTGTGACAAAAGCCAAAGAAGAAAAGCTTTTGCAGCGGGTACGTAGGTATGATGACTTATCTGCTTTCACTTTGCCATGTTACCTACGTCGCTTATGCATTATTGATTCTAAGGTGGAGCACTTTGACAACTTGAGGTTATTCTCTCCTGCCATACGCAGTCTATTATTATTCAGTCACGATGAAGACAGTAATAGTTTTGACCTTCGATTCATTTTTCACATCATCAAACTTGTCAAAGTGTTAGATTTGAGCCAAATTGGACTCGACCCCTTTCCTAGAGAGGTAGAACTGCTTGTTCACTTGCGCTACTTGGCGATTCTAGGTCGAGGTAAAATCAGTCTCCCATCATCAGTATGCAATCTCCCGAATTTGGAAACTTTGATTTGGCAAAATTCTTCAACTCATCGTTCAGTTTCACTACCAGATACCGTATGGAACCTGAAGAAACTAAGGCATTTACAACTAATTGATGAGGTCGATAAGCATTATTGTTTTTTTTTCCCTAGAGACAATCTTGACAACTCGTCACAGTTGCGTGACTTAGATTTCTTGTCCTGTTTGTCTCTCGATCCTGAGGAAAACATCAGCAAGCTGTTGAGAAAGTTTCCAAATATCCGCAAGCTGAGATGCTCTGTCAATCTGAAGCCAGATGTTCAATATCATGTAGCAATGGATTGTCTAAGTCAGTTGGAATCACTCAGTCTGAGTTGCGTTATTTACGGCGGTGGCCGATATCAGTTAGATTTCCAATTTCCTTTGACTATTAAAAAATTGACCCTATCTTATTTTCGCTTGCCATGGAGCAAAATGGCAGCAATTGGAAATCTACCCAATCTTGAGGTACTCAAATTACTCAAACAAGCCTTTGAGGGGGAAATATGGGAAATGGAAGTGGAGAAGTTCCCTAAAGTTCGTTTCTTGAAATTAGCTTCCTTGAACATTGTGAAGTGGACAGCCTCCTCCGAGTATGAGTACGAGGACCAGTACTATTTTCCTCGTCTCCAGAAGCTAGTATTGGATCGCTGTGGAGCGTTGCAGGAGATCCCTTCTTGTTTGGGAAATAGTTATGCCCTTGAAATAATTGAGGTGTCAAAATGTCCCAGCTGTACCAGTTCATTGGAAGAAATTCAGGAAGAGCAAAGAAGCAATGGAAATACCGATCTGAAGATCCTTATCTCATAATGGACGATTGATCTTCTCAAGTAAGTTTGCTTTGGACAGCCAGTTTACTTTACATTTGTTTTTTAAGTACTTTACTTATGTACTGCTACGGGTTATGTTTATCTGTTTTGGCATCAAGATCAAGTTGTTCTTTTTCTTAATAGTTTTTCTTTTTCTTTTTCTTAATAGCATCAAGATCAGGCTGCAAGATTTTGGAGGACTTCCCTTCTTGTTTGGAAAATATATCAACTCTTGAAATAATTGAAGTATCTAAATGTCCCAACTCTACAAGTTCAGTGGAGCAAATTCAGGAAGAGCAAATACTGATCTGAAGATCTTTATTTCACGATGGATGACTGATCTTTCCAAGTGTGTTTGGTTTGGTTTGGTTTGGTTTGGAAGCCACTTCAGTCTACTTTTCTTTTTTAACCCTTTACTTCTGTACACATACTGGTTATGTTGTATCTGTTGAGCATCAATCAAGATCAAGTTGTTCTTGTTTTCTTTGCAAGTTTCTTGTTATTCCTGTGACCCAATCTTGTACTGCGACATATACATACCTATACAACTGAGTTTGCAAATTTTCCAAGAAGTTATTTGTCTTTATTGGTTTGAACTTTGAATTACAATAATATCCTATTGGGAGATTTCCGGTAGTCAACGAAATAACTTTTGATACAAGCACGTACCAAGATTGACTGTTGTACAAAATGAAGGAAGAAACCCAAAGTTTTTTTTTTTTAAAAAAAAAAAAAAAAAAAAACCCCCCATCCTTCCTTACATTCTTTCTGTTCCCAACTAGTAGACTCTAGATTCAAACGTTGAACCTGACATCAAAGAGAAGCATAGTTACGAGAGTTAATTGTGCTAACTTCACTTGAGCATTGTCGTAATCCTAAAAACTTTTTGTAAAGTTATTTATTAAACGTTTTAAATTGTTCTAAAATTGATATCTTAAAAAGTACTTTATAATTTTCAAAATACAAAAGGCCTCCCAAAATAAGTAACATTCAGGAAAAATGTAGAGACAAGGTATAAGTGGAACATTTTTTTTAAAAGAGATTTTAGCATAATTAGCATAATTTTTAGGGCCACCCCCAACTTATATAGTTTCAGGGGAAATGATGGGCACCAAAGATGGACCTGGAAGGGCTCCTCCAAGTCCAGATACTCTTATCCAAAGATTTAGATAATTCTCTTGTTCATTCTTAAAATTCTAAAAATTTTCAAAAAGCCCTTTAAATTTGAATATTTTGGAGCCGCAACTATATATTTTAGTTTGCAAAAAATCTACTCATTATCTCTACCTCACCCCTGTATACTTTTATTGTGGTTCTACAAGTGAAACACATTACATGAGGGAGTAGCTAAAAGTAAATTAATTTAATAATCCATTTAAAGCAATTCTTATTAAAATTTATAATTCTTATTAAAATAAATTAATTTGAAATTTTAGAATTATAAAGTAAATGAAGGGCTTTGGCATATAAAAATTTACATTCATTCAAACTCAGCCCATTTGGGCTCTTAAAAATAGGTTTTAACCTAGTTTTTAAATCTAATTTTGAAATTTAGTTCAATAATGGGCTGAGTTTTGTCTAAATTAGGGTTAAATTGAATAAAGTCCAACCCATTTAAAAGTTTTAAATGAGCCAATCTCAAGCCAATATAAAAGATTTTTCTTTGGGCCAAACTTGAACTTATTGAAGCCCTTATTCGCAAAACCAAATTGATAAGGTTTTGTATTTGTATAGAATTTGGTTGAGAAAATAAGGTTAGTAAGGGCAATTTAGTCCAAGGGTAATTTAGTCCTTTTATTATGATATAAGTAGGGGCAAATTAGTCAAAAACTTTTACTAGAATTAGTAGGGGCAAGTTAGTTCATTTATTATCATATTATTATGTGAGAGTGTGGTTATATAGTGTTCAATACGAATTTGCATCATTCGCAAGGGCAAATTAGTCCAAATATTATTATACTAGTACTAGGTGCAAATTAGTCAAAAAGCTTTAAATTAATTATTAAGGGCAAATTAGTCCATTCATGTTATATTATCCTATGAGGGTAAGGTTATATAATTATGAGAGTACAAATTTATATTATTTGTAAGGATCAATTAATCTAAAATTTCATCAGTCGTCCTGGGATGACTAATACCATCACCACCATGGAATTATTTTATTCCATGAATAGGGGATTAATTCGATTAATCGGGATGTATCATGTCATGTATAAAATACAACCAAACATGAGATGAGATAGAATGACTAATCCAATCCTTGTGTCATCTCATAAACCAAACGAATCCTAAAAAGATTAATTTCATTGTGCACTCCATAACTGATATACGATTCTCACTCTGCGAGCTAAACTTGATTTCGAAAGCATTACACTCTGATGCGTCCCATTTGAATCTAATCCATAACACCACAGTGAGCAAATTACATAGCAGTGTCACGCCAGAAGCTATAAAGGCATTTGAAACAACCCAGGAAATATCATGATCATAGATTTTCTCTTTTTTTCCTTCTTGGCCTTTTGTTCAGATAAATGTGACAAGGGTCAGATTATATACGATTTCAATTGTGAGTATGTCAAGCTAACGATCACAGTCAAGTACGAAAAGACACAAAATAGTAGTTGTAAAATCAATGCTAAAAAATTTATCTTGTAAAAAGGGGATTTTGCTAATAATGAACTACGTGCCATTTTTTTGGAACAAGGAAAAAGGAAAATAAAACTTGGGTTCCTCTCAAAAATCTTGAATTTTCCTGCTAGATTTTAGTCTGCAAAATTTGTGTGTGTGAATGGGGGAGAAACTTAGTCTACTGCAAGAGTGTTTGTGGGCGTGAGAAAGATAGTCTAACCCGGATCATCAATTTGTCTGTTTCATGTTTGAACAATTTGTGCGCAACGGATCATCAATTTGTGTGATAAATTGTGAAGATGATGACGAGAGGACAGATGTTAAACTGAGTTTTAGGGCTTTTTTCCCTTGATAAATTGTGATTTTGTGAGATTGTTTTTATTTTAATCGGCTTTGGTTATAGAGATTAAATTTCTCTGGCCGGTTATTCGATTAATCAATTTAACATGGTTCGGATTTGGTTGTTTGAGAGTTTGGTTTATCAAGAGACACTTGGCAAGATTAGAAGAAGTGGGATAGGTTGTGAGACAGGATGTGACATAGAAGATCCGTTGCGCAAATAATGCTTACCTGTACAAAACGCAACCTAAGCAACTTATGTTCCACATAATGAAATGAAGATATGGCCTTACCTTATATTTTCTTTCTTCCCCTTGATTTATCAAAATATGAAATAATAATCTCTCTCGTATCGATTTCTCATTTGTGATGTCGCATTGTTTAGCAACATTGTTTTGAAACTGAGAATTGCCAATTTTCCATAGCTATCTTTGGCATTTTCAATTATTTATTTTTAAAAATTTCTCGTGGACTTGAGTTTTCGAAGGTAATGTGGATCCGACTTGTAAAACCACGTTGAATTTTCCCCTCAGATATCTAACCAAAATCCAAGCTGGGGACGAATTGTTACTTGTTGTATATCAGGGGGAAAATGAAAGAAAAAGAAGGAAGAAAAAATCGCATGAAATGCTAGAATATCGTATACATATTTGGGTGGAAAGGGAACAATTTTTTTAGTGTAAACTGTAAAGTTTTATACTTTTATTAGCTAATAGTAATATCTACATTCTTGACGCCATAATTCTCTGAAAGATCATAATTAGCATAAAATTGCATAAGGTACAAATAAAGTGCAAATTTTTGGGAAAATTAATTCCAGAAAATTAACTTTTCTTGACCAATATTAATGAAAATAGCTCTCAGCCACCTTAAAAGTTCAAAAATTTTCAGCCACCTCCTTCTGACTCATTGCAGGTCTTTTGCCAATTGATGAGGACTTTTCAGAGTGTGGAAAAAAGACCAGTATGATGGCTGGAGCAGGAAA